AACACAATTTCACTTTTTTATTATACTTAAAATAATCTCTTAAAAAATCAACCAAACGCAATTTTAGAATCGGTCATAGAATAATTCTCAAAATAATTTCATTTTACTTTTTATTAAAAATATAATTATTTTGAAACCAATTCCAAACGCACCAAACACCATGCCCTACTCTATTGTATGGAGGGTTTGCTGACCTGGAGTGTGCACTGTTTATGGCCTACTTCAGAAATCATTCGCTACTTTTAGTGTCAGGGATGTCAAAAAATAATCAAAGTTCATGACATAATTTATCAAAATGAAAAGATGGATTATTAAAGTGACATAAGCTTATAATTCAGATTATTAAAGTGACGTAATGCTTATAATTCAGGGTCTAGCAGCGTTAATAAATCGAAATATAATTGAGTAAAAGTAATTCTTGCAAGTGATGATCATCTTTTACACTTTTGCAAAAATAAACCAATGGAAACATAAAAAGTTATTTTAAAGATCAAAATTCTTTATTTTGACTTTCGTAGCTTATACACTACAACAAAAAGGGTTATTAGCGACGATATAATTAGTGACGACATTTATGATTCTTAAAATTACAGAATTAGTGACGACATGTTGTCACAAAAAATAAATTAAAATTTTTGAACGACTTGTCGTCGCATTCACTATTTACGACAACACATCGTTACACAAAATTTCAATATTTGCGACGACATATTGTCGCTAAAATTTGACAAATTATTCACGACGACATGTCGTTGCTAATAGCCGTTGGTGCCAAAACCAATATGGCACCAACAATTTTGGCGCCAGTTTGTCCATTATTTGCGATGTCATTTCGTCACAAATATTGATACGTGTAGTTGGCGGTGATGTGGCAAAAAAGAGGCAGAAAATTTAGCGGTTTCCCGCGAATAGGTTCCAGATATTTTTTTTTTTGCGACGACATATTAAAAAGTCGTCGCAAAAAATGGTTCAAAAAATTCTTTTCAGAACGACTATTTTTTGTGACGACACGTGTTGTCACAAAAAAGGGTTTTAAAAAATTCTATCAAGTACGACTATTTTTTGTGACGAATTGTTTAATAATGTCATCGCAAATAAGTGGGAATTTAATTTTCCCAAAAAAAGGTGAAAACTTTGGCAGTATCCTTAAAATTATTTACGACGACATCTTAACAAAGTCGTCACAAAAAATAAGCGTAGGTATATTCCTCAAGAATATTCTCAAAAATATTAATCAGGTGAAGATGAACGATGCCGTTTTTATATTAATCGCGACGATTATTTAATATTTTTTGCGACGATAAATGTCGTCGTAAAAGGTCATCTGTATAAATGCGATCGCAAACCTCGCTCTGCCATTTTTTTTCAGTGAGCTCTCGCATTTTCTCTGATTTTCTCCGTCTAAAACCTCCAAAAACTGTCCAAAAACACAAAAAAAATAGCTTAGTATTATCGTTCTCTCATCAAATATTTCATTTGTGAAGAAAAAAAGTCCAAAAAAGTGGAGTTTTCATCTCCCCCTCGCCGCCCACTTTTTCGGTCGTCGTCGTCATTTTCCGGCCGCCGTCACCCTTCGAGCCCAGCTGCCATACTGTTTTCCAATCCCCGGTGTTTGTGGGTTTGGATTTTGTGAGTTAATATTTTGGTATTTTATAAATTGAGTTTGGTATTTTGGTTGTAGTTTGTGGTTTTGTTTTGGATTTTGAATTTAGTTTGTGGTTTTGGATTTAGAATTGTGAATTGTAAATTAGAATGGAAGTTGGAATATGTGGTAATTAGATTGAAAGTTGTATTAAATTTATCTGATAATTAAAAAATTAGAATAAAATTTTAATTAGTTTTACATTATTCATAAAATTATTAAATAAACTAATGTTAATTTTCAAAAAATTTGATAAAACTTTATAAATTCTTCGTAGTGGAGATGTCTATGGACAAGAGTTGGATACATTTAAGGAATCGGTTGTCTGATCAGTACTGGGATGGTTTGTGTGCTTTTATTGAGGTTGGAAAGAATAGAACGAGCATCTTTGTCAAGGACTCCTGATATGAGAATGAACCATTTATACTGGCATCTCAAGCGGAATAGGTTTTTTATGTTGATGATTTATTCAACAGTCTGAACTGGAAAGTTATTGAACACTTTAGACATCGACATATTTAGGATATACCATATACGGAAGCAGACGACAATATAGTAGTTCAAGATATCGAGTCTATGAATGTTGACTTAGTCGCGGAACTACCTGAGTTGACACTTTGATGTGGAATCGACCTGATATATCATTTAATGTTGTCTTGTCCGATGTTGATGCAATTTTAAAAGACAAGTCTACCGTTGAGGATAATGACTCCGATATAGTGGTACATGATGACGAAGAAGACTATGTTGAAGAAGACGTCGACGATTCTGAGGATGAGAGCGACATAAATGAGGGGGGTGACAATCAAGACATTAACAGTTACGATGAATAGAAATTATGTATTGTGATTATTGTTTTAATAATTAAATTATTCATATAACATAAGAATTATGTAAATAAGATAATAACGTTTATGGTGACTTCTTAACAGGCAATCATGTTTGGCCCAGTCGCTACATGTGTTGGCTCTTCAGGGGGAGTGCAACCTCCACCCGATCCTTATAGGTTGCCATCGCACTGTGAGTCTGGTATGTTAGAAGATAATTATAAATTTATTAAATTAATTACATCAGTATTATATGATCATTAAATATATTTCATTCTACAGCACACGATGCCGCACCTCGACGAAGTCGTGGAGGTCGAGGGAAGGCTAAGGGTCACGAAATCGCAGCCAAAGTTGCAAAGGAAGGAAAGATCACCCCCATGTTTGACGAACGTGGAGGTACTTGGAAGGTAATTGGAGACCACAACACTTGGTTCGATAGTGTCGTTGGAATCCATGTTAGGGATGTCTGTGAGCCTTTCCACGATGCTTGAAAAGATGGGGACATCTAGCATAAGAGAGAGATTCAACAGTGCCTGCTGGTATAAATTATTCAACTTCATTGTTTTTTAATTTAATCTAAATTTAAATATAATAAAATCATTCAACATGTTTATATTGTATTACAGGAATGGTTCAACCTCGATTATGCACGCGACGATGGTATAATTAGGTCAGTGGTCGACAGGGAGGCTGCAAAATGTTATAAGGATTGGAAAAGCGACCTCCGTGACTATTTCAATAATTACATTTTTATTTTTTTTATTAATTACTTTTTACAATAATAATTTTTTTCAATATTTTATTATTTATTTCCTTTTATTTAATTCTTCTTTATTATTATAACATCATGAATTATATTTAATATTGGGTTTAAATATATAGTAATATACAACATTAATTATTAAAAATAAAAAAATAAATAAAATATTAAAATATTATTTGCAACGACAAATGTGGTCGCAAAACATTTAAGCTACGTTAGCTAATTTTGCATATTTTGCGACAACTTATTTCGTAAAATGTCGCCGCAAATACTCAATGCCATGCCATCTTAATGATGTAACCGGTGAAATAATTGCAGCGACTCATTTGCGACGATTGTCATCGCAAAAATTATTTTTGCGACGAATCAATTGCGGCAACAGCTTTGCGACAACAAATGGTCGCTAAAATTTCATTTACAATGACTTTGAATTTGTTGCAACGATTTTTTGTCGTCACTGATAGCCCTATTTCTTGTAGTGATAAGAAGGCATTATAAGTATATGACCAAGAATTTAATGTGACTTCTATTCTATAACTTAATCACACTTAAAACTTATGGGTAAATTGTCATCATTTTGACCAAGAAGTTACTGTACCAATGATCCCAAGCTCAACTTATCTCAAAGGCAAATGTCCTGTCTTAATCTGCAAGGGTTTTTAAGATCTCTAATTTTTGGATTAGATTGTGTTTTCGCTTTCTTTGCGGTTATAGAAATAAATATTGTTTTTGGAGGTGTTTGGAAGAAAGGATCACTTAGGTGATTGTTGCTGATTTTTAGTCCATAAAAAAAAAGGAGCATGTACTACCATGATAAAAAAAAATCCTACACAGTAACTTAGTAATAAATAATTGATAACTACCCATTACTTTGTACGACATAAGACATGAAACATTATTGGGGCCGTGGGACAGAAGGACCATGTTAATAAGGCCCTTTATCTATGAATTAAGGGAAATGAAATACCCTTTTAAATAGTACCTATTTGACATTGGACCAGGAACATTGGCCATTAATTTCTAGTGAACTATATTAATACAAAATGTATTAATTAAAAGTCATGAGTTAAATTTTAATTCACGCATTCTAAAAGTAAGTTCAATAATTTCTCATCTATAATTATAGGACCATACATATACACTTGGACAATAATATTTTATTGGTAGGTGAAAATAATAAATTTTGCTAGTAGAAAAGATGCATATAACGTTACTAAAACTTTTCACGGTAAGTCTTTCAAAAAAAAAAAAAAAAAAAAAAATTCTCAGTAATACCAGAAAAAATGAGTTTCTAAAAGATTTTATTTTTCAACCATCATATTTGTATTAAAAACTACATTACCAATATGTGCCTCTAATATAAAAAAACTCATTATCTTTCCACAAGAATTTTCCATCCACTTTCAATTTGAAATTCAAATAAAGAATTTTAGGCCCCGTTTGGAGCATATATTTAAGTCAGTGATTCTGATTCACCAGCATCAACTTTATAAGAGAGAAAATTTTTGAATTCAAATCCTTTGTAACATAAAAAATACTGTTGTAGAACCCAAATCATTATTCAAATATACTCACCAAACAAGCCCTTAAATACTATATCGTTCCAATGGGTTAAAAAAAAAAGGTAGTGTAAAGAAGCATAATGTAGAGTTAAAAGAATGCATAAATGTAGTAGGATGAGTATGATTGGCGTAATATTAACAACCAAGCCACTAGCTAGTCTATAAATACCCTGAAAGAACTTGCACTGAGCACACTAACAGCCTCAAAAAATTTCTCACAGGAGGGAAAAATGAAGTTTAGAACTCTTTTAATCATCTTCTCTTTTGGTTTTTTGCTAGAAATTGTCTCTGCAAACGAGCCGCAATGTGGAAGGGATGCAGAAGGTGCCTTATGCCATGGCAACTTGTGTTGTAGCCATTGGGGTTTTTGTGGTACCACTGCCATCTTTTGTGACGTTGATCAAGGTTGCCAAAGCCAATGTTGGAGTTCACCACCTCCACCAAGCCCGCCTCCACCTCCTCCAAGCCCGCCTCCGCCAAGTCCACCACCGCCTAGCCCACCACCGCCTAGCCCGCCTCCTCCTAGCCCGCCTCCACCAAGTCCACCTCCACCGAGTCCGCCTCCACCGAGTCCGCCTCCCCCAAGTGGCCCAGAAAGACCCGATCACCGATGCGGAAGAGCCCTCGGAAACCCTCCATGTGATCCAGGAAGGTGTTGTAGTATCCATAATTGGTGTGGCAGTACAGCCGCTCATTGTAGAGGGTCAAGCTGCCAATACCAATGTTGGAATTCTCTCCTTTCTGCTCTAATTCCAAATGGCAATAATGCTATTAGCAAGATCATTAGTAAATCCGTTTTCGATGAAATGTTTAAGCACAGGAAAGATTGTCCAAGTCAAGGATTTTACAGTTATGATGCTTTCATCATTGCTACTACATCTTTCCCTCATTTTGGTACTACTGGTGATATTACAACCCGTAAGAGGGAGCTTGCTGCTTTCTTTGCTCAAACCTCTCTAGCAACCATAGGTAAATTAATTTGTCCTTATATATCTAAATTCAATGGTGGAAGATATGCAATATCATTTTTGGACAACATCCATATTAATTTACAAATAATGGTAAATGGTGAACTAAACTCGAACCCATATTAATTAGTTAAAATTAATAACATATACACACAAATTTTCACTTGACAGGTTACTCTTTTAAGATAAAAATTTAAATCTTTAAAAGGTTCAATTTTTATTTTGATATTAGTGCCTAACAAGCTCAAATGAGCTGCTCGATTATTTCAATATTACAAAATTAGAGACTCTAATCTAATCTAATCTAAGACAACTTACAAACGGAAACCCTAATAGTTTGACATAGTAATCTTGAGTCGGTTGATGAAAAATAATTATCATCAATACTTGCAGTACTATTGATATTATTTCATTAGATTAGTAATTTGTTATTTCTTTAAGAATTTTGTTATCACTTTGACACGTACATTAATATTTGCATGTTTTGTGTAGGTCAACGGTTTGATTCACAAGATCCATATGCATGGGGATATTGTCATATCAATGAGACCACCGATGAGAATGACAATAAATATTGTACATCTGCTCATTGGCCATGTCCTTCTGGCAAACAATATAATAGTCGAGGAGCCGTGCAACTCACTCAGTAAGTGTTTTATTTCAAATTTGACATTTAATTATTACAACAATAATTACTATTCGCAAGTAGTACAACACTTCATTTCTACACATTTATTTAGTTATATCTTATTTACTGCTGAAATTTTTTCTACGTATTAGAATCTTACATAATATCTCTTTTGATCAAAATTAGAATTTCCAATTATATTATCATGATTAGAATTTCAACCTATCACTTAAAATTTTGTGAAATTGTGGATCGACACATTTCACAAGGAATAAATTCTTGGATGGATAAAAACCAATGTTACTATACATGTTTAAATATTTTGGTTACGTAGAAAATGTTTCAAGCTAGGTGGTTGTAATCTAGAGCTGGATTATACATTAATTGACATCTTGATGTGCTTACTATCTCTGCAGCAATTACAATTACGGACTTGCCGGTGAAGCTTTTGGATTAGATTTGATAAACAATCCCGACTTAGTAGCTACAGACCCAGTGGTATCATTTAAGACCGCCTTATGGTTTTGGATGACTCAACACGATAATAAACCTTCCTGCCATGATATTCTCATCAATGCTAATTCTAAAGTTGGTCAAGTACTCCCAAGCTATGGTCATGTGATTGGTAACATAATCAAATATTCTGGATATCAAAATGGCCGTATTACCACTATGAGAGGTATTGGGTACTATAAGAGGTATTGTGATATGTTGGGTGTGAGCTATGGAGATAATTTAGATTCTTGGTATGATCAAACGCATTTCTCGGAAGTTGCTCGCATCTAAAGTACGATGACATAAATGGTGGCCCTAGACAAAATAAACTGGGAGTATTCTAGATATGTAATGAGTCTCCTGAGTATTGTACAAAGTGGCTCGATTACTCAGTGATTGAGCTTTTATGTTATATGATGAAATAAATGAGCTGCCTATATGATAATAATAGCTACGCAATTTTCTTCTCCTTTCATATATATGGTGGTCAGAGAATGGTCAATATTGAATATGGTGGTTGCTAGTAAAAAGGCGTCACTGCTATGCAAACCGCAATAAACATCAGTGTAGACGTGGTTTCCTCAGTTAAATAATTATTTGATGAGGAGTTAGATTTATTAGTGAGTCACTCTAATTATAATCTCTATTTTAATTAAACACATATTATTTTAATATTTTTGAGCTTAAAATATAAATATTTTTTTTAACTTTTACTTTTTGTCAAAATAAAGAATAAAATAATAAAAAGAATAAATAGTTAGCCACTTCTTACTAGCTACATTTAGTTAGTGAAAAATGCTTTAGCCAAAATAGTTAACCATTTAGCTAATGATTGAAGCGGAGAGAAGTTAAAAAAAAATTAAATCATTAATTATTTTGGCTACAAATATGAAATGTCTAGCATGATTAGTTGCTCTTATATAGTCTAATTTTAAAATTTTATAAAAATTCAGCAATGTAAAAGATATTATAGGATTTCTCATTTTATTTTAAGTGAGAGAGTAGTGTAAGATCTCACAAATTAAATTAATGCTTCCCACATCCCAACTAAGATACTTTTTCTATACCCTATTTAATAATTCCTGATTCTTTGTTTCCTCCAAGGAGAAGCTATAACTTTATAACAGTAGACATGAATAGCCATCTCACTGCAACTTGCAATACATTGAATTGTTTTCACATTCTAATATTAATGTAGAGAACTCCTATTCTTTAAATGTGCCTTTAAAAAAAGAAAAAGAAAAGAAAAAAAAAATGCCTTAATGATCGTGAGGTCCAGCAACAGATGAAAACTTTGAAAGTAATATATATGTACAACAGAATAATATGCAAGAAGAAAACGACTAAGATATAGGTACCAATGACAACCAAGGAAAAATAAATAAAGCAAAAGCAAAAATAGTTATATAACCCTTTTTCTCTCTTTTTCTCTCTCTTTTTAATTATTTTGTTCGACACATAAATCAATTTTTGAATATATGAAGAGATAAGGAAATCTGGTTAGTACGTATACTGCTTCTTTTTTTTTTTTTGGCTCAAGATATCATATATTGGGTAGTGGAATGCGTTTATACGTACGACCCGAGCAAAATAAATACTTGTATGTTAATGGTTATCATAGTTTCTTTTGAAGCATTATAAGTTAGATATTTAAGAAAGTTGCCCTTAAACCTCTAATATTTTGTTCACATTTTCTTTTTGTTCATATTTTCTTTTTTTAATATAATATTTCGATCATATAAAATAAACATTTACACCCCACGTTTGTGAAAGACAACTATATATGTCTGTTTTATTTTTTTTGGAGCACATATATATGAAACAATTTTTTGAAAGATCAGGAAAAGTTATTGCTAATTTATCGAAATAAAAGGAAAATAATTTAAATAAAGACACTATTCAGTATAATTAATATGACCACATTCATCTTGTTTGTTCGAATTACAACTCAAGTTTTTGTAATGTTTCTTTTTTTTCAAAAAATTTAAACTTAACTTTTTTATTACAGTGTTTTCTTTAACATAAATTCACGTTTTAACTTAAGTTGAGAATTTAAACTAGCAAGATGAAAAGCACCGATTCATCTTGGCTTTCGAAATCATGTGCAATAAAAATACCAAGCCGAATACGATGGATAGTGGGTTTCTAAATTAAGTCTGGACAATATATGTGTCTCTGAGAGAGAACCTCGAACTCATTTCAAATCATTTCATGTCATTGAGTTTGTTGGAGTATTAAGAATTCCATTGCCCAGCTTCTACAACGCACCATTAATAAACACTAAACCAAATAGTACTTTTGGAAGATCAAACTAAACTAAGTAGTTGAACCTTGTACTTACGTAAGTCCATTAACGGAGCTAATTAGTTAAGTAAAATAACACAAAATAAATTAAAGAATTAATTTAGTACATGCCTATTGAACTATGTGCCCTCATTTAACATGCCCGGAATTTTAAAAAAGAAATCATTTCACTTTTATTCTATACAAAATGTTCAAAATCTCCTTCCCTATATAATACTTACAAAATGATTACGTGAGACTATATGTATTTAAGTCAATTTGTCTATCAAAGTTTTAAGGGTGTTTTGAATGATTTTCGAAACACAGAACTTTTGTGCCACTACTAATTAAGGGTTTACTCATAGTACCATACTTATATGTGTAGGTAAAACTTTGATATGTGTTGGTAAAATCTTTTACCTATACATGTTGAGACTTTTAAAATTTATAAGTAATTAAACGGTGTAGAGAAAGGTATTTATCTATATATATATTTTTTTTTATGTGTACATAAAACTTACTCTTTATCCACACAAAAATGTGTAAGTAATATTCTAGAAAATATATAGGAATTTGATTGTGAAATCTGACACAGTGGATGATATGTTTGTTAATGTAGATGCTGACAAATAAATCTGAAATTGAAATTACTTGCGTGGCAATTGTAAAGGGTGAAATCTACAATTAAATTTGTTAGGAGGTAAATGACTAAATTCGATGATTAGAGCGTTAGTATCATAATCGCGGTAAAAATAAACAGACAGAAAAAATAAAGAGAGCGGGACACAATAATTTATAGTGGTTCCCTTGATGATCTATGGTACATCTACTGTTGGGTCTTCAGATCTTCCACTATGAATATTGACGAAGATTACAACGGTATTCTCCATAAATGTCAGGAGAATACTATGGAAAATACTGAGAAGTATGTAAATATGGTGGAAAAACTCCTAGGAATGCTAAACAATGGTGTAGGCGTATGATGGGCGTAAATATGTGTCTCCCCCGCCATGGACGTGCAAGGGCTGATTTATAGGCCTTGATTGCTGAATATTTGATTTAAGGCAAGTTTTCCATTTAACTTTTGATTGAAGATTCTTTCCTCTTAGAGAAATTGCTTAGGGAGTAAGCTTAGTGGAGATTGACTTTCTCTTTACTATTCTGAGGCAATATCCAATAGAATATGGCTGCTGTGATGGAGGAATTAATGTTGATTTTTTAGAATACTGAGCATGCAGCCCCGCAAGTGGACTGGTTGTTCGGGTAGCCGAACCTACTTGGCGGGTAGCGGTTCGTTTCGGCAGTTGATCTGCTGATGGCTAGCGACTCATTTCAGTAACCGATTCGTGATTCAGCCCCATTCTTCGAGACGTATAAAGACACATATATGATGAGAAATGAGAAACGAAATTTGACCTCAACAAGAATCATTTACTGGCTATAATACTTATGTGTCCATCCATGTGGCTATTGTTGATTGGTTACATTACTAACATGGCAACGACGTGTCGCTTACATAGCAGCTTGAGAAATATGTAAGTAAAATCTAGTATGTGTAGGTAAAAATATATTTTTTTTTTAACTCTTTTTAAAAATAATATATATTTGTAGATAAAGATAGAAATTGTACATAGTAATAAATAAACAAAATCTGAGAATCTAAACTAAACTTACAAATAAAGATAATTTCAATGGTAAATAATTATAATAATAACATGAGTGGGTAATATACAATTAATTTCTCGAGAACATACAAAATTGGGATTTTGTCATACCGTTACAGTTCTATATAAATAAGACTCGCTGTAAAATATAACTCAAGCTAAAACCTGAAAGGAGAAAAACATTAAAAGGGCTGAGTCGTATGTGAAAACGTTCCACAAAAAACAAGTCCAGAAAAACAACAAAGTCACAAGTACAAATATTCACATATTAACAGTAGACAATTCAAAGCTCAAGATGCAACAGATAATTCACATGTCATCATCTCATAATTTAAGGTGAATATGTGTCGTCTAACCCTAAAATTATAGAAGTGAAAAATCTCATTCATATATATATATATATATATAAAGACTTATATATATATATATATATTATTTCAAACATAATATTTCTTCAGCAAACAATAAAAAATACAATAATGTATTTTTAATAATATCAAGGTTCAAAACCAGACATGTAATAGATCTGTAATTGGTTAAAAGTAAGTTCTATTGATGAACGTCGTTGTTTTTCACACGCTTTTTTCCCTGAATAGTCAAACTTCGATCTCTCAAATAATTGTTGTATAAGAGCATTTTGAGGGAACTCTCTAAATTTTAATTAAATTTTAGTTAAAATAATTAAAAGGTTATTTTAATTAGTAATTTTTTAATAATCCATTCCAATCATACTTTCTATTTTAACTAAATATAGATTATTTTAATATCTATTAAATTTAAAATATAAATAACTTTATTAAATTAAAAAAACTATATATTTATTATGGTTTGAAAGAATAAAATAATACAAAAATTTAAATGACTAGTCTTTTTTGTTAGCTATATTTAGTTAGTGTGACTAGCATAAAGAAGTTTCCATAATAGCTAATTATTTAGTTAATGGTTAGAGTCGAAAAAAGCTATAAAAAAGTTAAATTTTTATTCGTTTTAACTAAAACATAAAGTGATTAGCATGCTTTGAGATGCACTAAGTAATAACACAAATATAAGTTTATAAGGGCTTTACTCAGGTTTTTTTTTTCTTTTGGTTTATAAGAAAGGAGACCGCCCGATTGTGAATAAAAAAACACAAAAACTAATCTATCTAAAAATAACAGTTTTTATCAAAAAAATTTCCCAGTTACAAATTGTTGTCTAAGCTAAATTATCCTGTTATTTTATAGGAAGTTTGCCTTAAATTTTGTATCTACAAATATACATAACTTAGTTGTATGTTGTGGTGTAGGACGAGGTTCTGATTCACTGGATCCATATGCTTGGGGTTACTGTCATATTAATACGACCACTAGTGACGTTGAGAATGAATATTGTACATCTACTTATTGGGCATGTGCTTCTGGAAAGAAGTATAACAGTCGAGGACCCATCCAACTCATTCAGTAAGTACTAACATATGTTGGGATTTGTTTCTAAAATTCTGTATTGATTTTAATCGTTTTATTATTAGCATTATTTTGGGAATAATTGGCTGGTTGATTGTGTTTGAGAATAGATGTGCAGTTGGCAAGTTCTTTATGGAAGGTTTCTGCAAGTTCTGGAAACTTAATATAGTTTCTATTTTTGAAAGTCAACTATTGATTCAAAGATGGTAAATTGATAATTGGTGATTTGATTGATATTTGATTGAATTTTCGTAGTTGGATGATCTTCCTCTATCTCCTAGGAATGTGTCCAGATTCGTATATCAGTTTCGGAAAAATTTCAGAATTAAAGCAGATTGATTTGGACTGGTTTTTCTAAAGTTGACCTTGACAGTTATGTTGCAGTTATTGTTGCAACAAGGATCTGCAACATATTTGGTTCAACGAATTAATTGAAGAGGTCGTCAGAGCTGTTAACTTTCTGCTTATTTATTCAAAGAGTCTCTCAAGTCTTTGTACGCCTTTTGATTAGTTTTTGTTGCGTTGTGAGACAAGGGTGAACACTTGTATTCAGAGAGATGATTTGTGTGTTTTTCGGGAGAAAAACTTAGTTTGAGGGATTTCAATGTTAAAAAGTCGAGGGGATCTCGTTGTTCAAGTCCATTAGGAAATTGCAAGTTCATAGGCGTCTTCTTAGAGAGTGAGTCTTGGGTAGATTAAGTCCAATTGAATATTAAAAGAGTTCTTAATGGATTGTTCATCATCTGGGCGTGGCCCCGCGGAGTAGGTTGTGACTGAACCGCGATACCATTTCTCTCGTGTTCTTTTATTTTACGTCTCTGCATTATTTATATTGTCTTATAAAGTATTAAAAGACTCAAACCGGTACTAACAATTGGTATCAGAGCAGGTCACTGACGTGTATTTCGGTGAGGTCTTGGTGTATTGGTTGATTTTGCAGGAATGGATTTCATGAGAGAAGGAGGATCTGTGATCAAACCACCATTTCTGGAAGGTGTCAATTACCCCTATTGGAAGGCTCGCATGAAATCTTTCATTAAAGCTATTGATGAGAAGGCATGACGATTTGTCTTAACCAGATGGACTCATCCAACAACTAAAGATGATAAAGGCAATACTGTCCCTAAACCAGAAGATGAATGGTCCAACGATGAGGACAATCTAGCAAACAATAATTCAAAAGTATTGAACGCCATTTTCAATGCTGTGGATGTTAAACAATTCAAATTGATTTCCACACGTGAGTCCGCTAAAGAAGCGTGGGATATTCTTCGAACTGCACATGAAGGTACGGATGCTGTGAAGTCTTCAAAACTTCAAATCCTCACAACCCGTTTTGAGCATTTGCATATGGAGGAAGATGAAAGTATTGCCGATTTCAACTCAAAGTTTTGTAATATTGCTAACGAAGCCTTTGCCCTTGAAGAAAAATATTCTGACGCCAAATTGGTGAAAAAGACCTTGAGGTCACTTCTAGCACATTTCGCTTACAAAGTGACAGCTATCGAAGAAGCAAAAAACGTGGAGAAGATGAGACTTGATGAACTCGTAGGTAATCTTCAAACCTTTGAGATGAACTTTAAGGATAAAAAGAAAAGTAGAAGAATTGCTCTTCAAGCAGATTATGATGATATGTCCACCAAAGATGAGACCAACGAAGATGAGGACTTGAGTGAGTTTCTTACTTTACTCACCAAAAACTTGAATAAAATGCTGAGAAAGATCAACAAGAAAGGGAGATTTAGAGAGAATTCAAAGAACAAAAATTCTCAAAAGAAGAATTTTAACTCTCAACGGTTTGAAGAGAAGAAAAGAAATAAGGAAATACAATGCCGAGAATGTGAAGGATTAGGACATGTTCAAGCGGTGTGTGCAAACACTCTCAAGAAGCGAAACAAGGCTGCCATGGCGTCTACATGGAGTGATGATTCGGATGAAAGTCAAGAGGATGCAGATGAACACATCAGCAATTATGTAGCTTTCACTGTAGGAAATGAATTCATGGATAAAAATTTATTTAGCACTGATAATGTTGCTGCAGAGTCTGTTACAACAGCGTTTGCAACAACCTCTAGCGGAGTTGTTGATGATACAGATTTTGAGGATGAAATTGAAGATGACAGTGGCGATGATGACCTAAGTCTTGGGAAGATTCAGGAAGCTTATAAGAAGATGTACATCAAATGGCTTGTTGTTTGCACACGAAATAAATCGCTTGAAGATGAAGTTGGTGTCTTAACAAAAGAAATAGATGAGTTGAAGAAGGCTGCAATAAATTATGAAATCTCAGCAACAACGCATCAGAGAAAGCTTGCTGAGACCAGACTCGAATTGGAGCAGACCCAGAAGAATTTAACGATGCTAAACTCGGGCACATCAAAATTGGATCACTTACTCTCACAATAAAAAACTTGTGGTGATCATTCAGGCCTTGGCTACAAGGGTCAAGAAATTTCTAGGAAGGCTATCTTTATGAAATTAGCCATCAGTACTATGATGCAATCCTTTAAGAAATCTCAGGTAAGATCAAACAAGAAGTTTGTTACAAAGCCTGTTGTAACAAGACAAGCAATAGACATGATTGTTCCTATCTGTCACTATTGTAATATGCCTGGCCACATTAGACCTAGATGTTACAAATACTTGAATGCTTTAAAAAGAGGTATGATCATTAAACCATCAAATTGCAGATTCACAAGAAAGACACCTAAAGCAAAGATTGATATGCAAAATAAATTTTCTAGACGTGTGTGGATAAGGAAATCTGATTTAAGGTGTCATAGGGCTTATACTTCTTTTAAAGCATGTACTACTAACTCTGAGTATTGTGGTAATGGTCACTTCAAGCTTTTAATAGGTGATAAAAGTAATATGCATGGGAGAATACCATATTCAGGGGAGTAAGACTCGTGTGGAGGATTCAGGGGGAGCGATTTGCATAAATCAATGAATTGGAACGTGATCTACAAGAAAGTATTGCATAGAGTGTTCTATCAGGTGTTGCAACACTTTCTGCAACAGCAGTTTCTAGAATTTTTGGCTTATTTTTGTCAAAAAGGGAGAGTAGGTAGTCTATGATGTTTTAAGTTCAGTGGGAGTTTACGAAAGTTATTTTGTTTTAGTTTCCAATTTTAGTTTTGCCAAAACAATGCCAAAGGGGGAGATTGTTGGGATTTGTTTCCCAAATTCTGTATTGATTCTAATCGTTTTATGATTAGCATTATTTTGGAAATGATTGGCTGATTGATTGTGTTTGAGAATAGATGTGCAGCTGACAAGTTCTTTATGGAAGGTTTCTGCAAGATCTGGAAACTTAATATAGTTTCTGTTTTTGAAGGTCAATTATTGATTCAAAGATGGTAAATTGATAATTGGTGATTTGAATGAGTTTTCGTAGCTGAATGATCTTCCACTATCTCCTAGGAATGTGTCCAGATTTGTATATCAGTTTCGAAAAGATTTCAGAATTAAAGCAGATTGATTCGGACTGGTTTTTCTAAAGTTGACCTTGACAGCTATGTTGCAGTTATTGTTGCAACAAGGATCTGCAACATATTAGCGAATTAATTGAAGAGGTCATCAAAACTATTAACTTTCTGCTTATTGATTCAAAGAGTCTCTCAAGTCTTTGTATGCCTTTTGATTAGTTTTTGCTGGGTTGTGAGATAAGGGTGAGCACTTGTATTTAGAGAGATGATTTGAGTGTTTTTCGGGAGAAAAACTTAGTTGGAGGGATTCCAATGTTAAAAAGTCGAGGGGATCTTGCTGCTTAAGTCCATTAGGAAATTGCAAGTTCATAGGCGTCTTCTTAGAGAAGGAGTCTCGGGTAGATTAAGTCCAATTGAATTGTAAAATAGTTCTTAGTGGATTGTTCATCATCTAGGTGTGGCCCCGCGGAGTAGGTTGTGACCGAACCGCGATACCATTTTTCTTGTGTTCTTTTGTTTTACATCTCTGCATTATTTATATTGTCTTATAAAGTATTAAAAAACTCAAACCGATATCAACAAGATATACCTCGAAAACAATTACTTCCGTTAGAAAAATTGAATTATGAAACATCTTCAAAATTATCTTATAAGGTAAATTTTTCTTTATGAGAAGTAAAATTATGATTCCTTAGAATCTTAATTGATCCACAGAGTTATGGAACATGGAAGTGTTTTTTTGTTGAATAACAATCTTTTGTTAGTTAAAATACGCACGTTGGAGTTTTATTATTATTGTTGTTTTTCATCCGTATTAGAAAAAGGAAGATCCTTTTACAGTAGAATATTGATACTAATACATGTTTCTGACTGTTAAATCTTATTAAAATCACATTAAAATACACAAGTAAAAAAGATAATTTTCAGATATGACGATTGACATATATAGAGATCTTCCGGTAGACATTTTCCATATCCTACGGTAGAAATCTCCTAAAAAACAAAGTAAAAGAAGAAAAAAAAAAAGAAAAGAAAAAGGTTGTCGTAGAATATTTGTTTTAATTTTTTGTTGGATTTCATATATTTCACATATTAATGATCACACTTTCATACCAGCAACCACAACTACGGACTTGTTGGAGAAGCTCTTTGGATAGATTTGATAAGTACTCCAGATTTAGTGGCAACAGACGTTGTTGTATCACTCAAGAAAACAATATGGTTTCGGATGACTCAGCACAACAACAAGCCTTCTTGCCACGATATTACTGTCAATGCCAACTCTGAAACTAGTCAAGTCCTTGGTCACATAATCCATGGAAATTCTGGACAAAAGAGTAGTGATTTAATCACTAACAGCATTGGGTACTACAAGAGGTATTGTGACATGTTGGAGCTCAACTATGGAGATAACATGAAATATTGGTACGATGAAACTCATTTCTCGGATGTTTCTCACTTACAAATGCCTGTCTACTGAGTATGATATGGAGGAAAAAGAAATGGTGGCTTTCTGGTATTAAACGAGTTTTCTCTATGATGAGAAAGCTAATTATTGGGATTTTTGTTTATGTGTATATCAAAGTACTGCATGTAATGTTACAGTAGACTCAACTTTCGTTAGTTGAGCTTGTGATCATGAAATAAATAGGCCGCCCATGTTTCCCAGCAATATTTATTCTATCCTCCGTCAACTTTCGTTAGTTGAAATAAATAGGCCACCCATCAAATAAAACGTCTAAAACTATCAATAGGGACTCTTTCTAGATGCCGTGATTCATGTTATTGATCCTTTTTATTTTCAACTAAAGTACTCAGGAATGGTAATTGATGAAAAGTCAGGAGATTTTTTGCTAGGTTTTTTAGAATTAAATAAGTTGATAATTGTTGAAAAAAATGTACGTGTGTGTTGTTTCACATGAAAAGTGAATGAGAATGTGAAGTGGTTTATATATATAGAATGACTAAAGGCCTAATAGGTTAATTTTTTAGGTCAAGTTAGACTCCTGAATTGTGTTGGGCTAGTTTCACATGTAGTGTCTCTCCAAAATAAACTTTATTGTAATTTTTAATTTCCTATTTGTAATTCCTATTCACAAGTGCCAATTCTAACAAGAAATTTTTAGAAACATTTGCATCCGCTGGAAACTAACACAATCATCGCAGGCTCTGAAAGTAACATTGCAAAGGCCGATTCGAACATTGCAAGTCCTTTTCCAGCAAGTTCTTCGTCAAGCACATCAGAATCTTACATGGTTCCTAAGCCGTACACACACATCATTAATCCATTCACGGAATCTGCAACATGTCTATTGCCTCAGTTAAATCTGCAAATACAAGACTAAAGCAGATTCCGAATCATATGAAAATGGAGGTTCAGAAAGGAAAAAAAAAAAAGAAAAAACCATCTAATATTTCATATCCTGAAAAATACTAAAATTAAGATAAATCTGTCACAGAAGTATAGTAGCTGGAATTGTAGCAAGCAATCCCTTTCACTGAAGAAACAAAATGTCATTAGCGAGTATAAATTAACACACACATATAAAGATCATATAACATCTGCATCTGTGTAAAAAAAGAACAACAAAATTAGTTAAACACATAGGAAATGGATTTGGGGTACAAATTTATAGCATTCACTTATCTATTAGGAAATGGATTGAAAATATTTTCATAGTGTTTATTAAGATTAAGAATATTAATTTTAAATAGGTGTGAAAGAGAAGCAATCTTTGTTTTCTAGCATTTAACTTTTTATTAGAAAGTTGAATCCGAAATCATGCAATTCCTTTCTTAGCATTTATGAAATCTAAGGATATGAGTCTTATATATTTAACTAAAATCATGTCGTCTTTGTGCAAAATTAAGTAGCCATTGACTTAAAATTGATATGAATCTCATAGTAAATAAACATTTATTTTAATTAATCGGAAAACAATATTATCAGTGGAGTTAGGATTGACATTCAATTTCTAATCTGCTATATCATGTAGGTCCCAGATTTTATTTATGCAAAGAGTCGATGAGGTGCTCCTATACTAACGAAGCTATAGTTAAAACTTAAAAGTGATGATTATGATATCACCTGTAATTAAACACTTGTCCTTGAAATATATGAGGAAAGTGTGTAGAATTTAATTGTCAAATATATGTTTGCTATGAGAGGTCTCAGGTTTTGTTTAATAAAAGACACCGCGAAATAAATATTCTACTATCTTACTTCGCTTTTGTTTTGTTTTTGTCTTTCCTTTTTTAGAGTAATCATAAGAGGAAAGTATATAATTTGCTATGGTTTTGTCCATGCTTACCACTTTAGAAGTAACATATAGAAGTGTTTAAAAACTACTTTCGTCCTATGGAAACAATACAGGATGAAATTTTCAATCAATTTGTCTTAGGTACTAGTTGGGGAGTTGTTGGATATGGATTTGTTTGCAATAGATTGATATAGCATATGAACAAATAAATAAGGTACAAAAAAATGAAAAGATGCATTAAAATTTATGACAGTTCACCCTTAATTGTGAGAGCTACATCTAATGTAGTGTTTGGTTTTTCATTATGTAGAAAGAAAGTAGTACAAAAGAGCTTGAAAAATCTTTAGAAAGACAATAAAGAAGGAGAGAATTTTGTTTACGAAGAATGAGAAAAACTGAATTGCTTAGGGAATGTAGAATGCGTGTTGAACCTTGTGCAGTGCGTCTGGGAGTCATTTGGTGAAGAAAAGTTTCCTTGTAAAGTTAGGAGACGATGCCTTCGATGACTCCCTTTTTTTATTTTTTAAATTTATGATGCCTTTGATAGCTTTTTTTTTTCTTTTTTTTTCCATTTCTCTTTTTTTTTTTCCTCTCTTTTTCTGTTCTTATTATTGTTCTTTTTTTTTTCTTTTTTTTTTCATCTCTTTTTCCTACTTCTCAGCGGAAAACAGTGTCAAGTTTCATTTACTTCTTGAAATGTTTCTTGGTTGCTGCACTTCTCGACTTTCTCTATCATTTTTCTAAATCCCTTATTCACCGTCAATACATAACACTTATTTGGTAAAAATTAAAAACTTTCATATATTTTTTTTATACAAAACACTTCCATATTTAAATTACAGTAACCATGAAATTCTGAATCAAGAATAGATCAGCTTACATATATCTGTATATCTATATCTATATTTATCTCTCTATACTTAAAGAACCTATGCTCTTTCCTATGTGGCAGCTCCTCCTCTTTCATTATTTTTCTTTTTTTTCTTTTTTTTTTTACTTTTTGTATCTTTATTTTTTTAGTTTTAAATGTTTTTTTTTTAGTTTTTAAAATTTGTTAATGTTTTTTTTTTTTTTTTTTACATTTTATTTTTTTTTTACTTTTGTTTTCAAAATTACATTGTTCCTTACTATACTCTAATAAAGGTAATTTCTTTCGCATGTGTTCTTATTAAATTTTTTGTTTCTGTTCATTTGTCTCTACTTAATTGTTTTCAGTATAATTCTTATCATATCAAAAATTATCTTTACACTAGTTTTTTATACTAAATCGTGTTCGTTTAATTTATAATTATATATATCTTTTCCATTATTAAGTGTTTAAATTTAAAAGTCAGTATTGTTTCAACTAAATTTTTTCTTAAATATGACTTTTATATATATTTTTATAAATATATATTTTTTTATGTGACCCTCTGAATTATTATTTGTAAATATACCATCTAATTAATTTTATGTCTAATTTGCCCAGTATATATATATTTCATACACATTTTACTTGTCCATACATAATATTCAATTAAAACGCAAGTTTTTTTTTTAATAAGAGCAAAACTCCATTTTATCTCCATCCATATTGGTCCATGTGTTGCTCCATGTGACTTTACTTAGACCTCGTTCATTTCGCTCATTTGAGTTAAAAAATGAATTCATGTGAAAGAAAATATTGTAAAAAAAATTTAAATTTAAATTTTTATAAGAGAAAATATTATAATAAAAAATTGAGTTATAATTCAAACTAGTAAAGCGGACGGGCGTTAAGATCTTCACTTCCCCTATGTATACCCTAATCTAACATTTATAAAAGCCATAGAGTTTACTTCACCACACCTTCTGACATGTGGTTGCCATTTTGTTCCTCTTTCTCTTTCTTTCTTTGTTTTTTTTTTTTCTTTTTTTACTTTGTTCTTTGACCCACCCTTACTCAATTTTTATTTACATTATTGTCCATCACTGATGTTACTTCCACTTTATAAAGTTTTTTAATTTCTCATATAAATATATATACATTTTTTTACAAATAGTTCCCTACTTCATATGTACACCCTAATTAGTTTTCTATTTAATTTCTATATATGAAAAAAAAAAAACTGTTGAAATAATTATTCTCAAATACGCTCTTACTTAAACATCTTTTTCTTTTCTATATGTCCATCCTAATTAGTTTTCTATTTGATTGTTTAGATCAAAACATTTCTTTTAGTGTGTTCTATTTTAATATGAAATCTAATGTTTTTAAATGTGCCTCCTCGAATATAATACATCTATTTTAGTTATTTTTTAATCTCTTCTACTATTGAGTGTTTAAATTTAAAATGTGTTGTTGTAATAAATTTTTAAGGTGACTCACACGCGACAATACATATGAATAAATTTTTTATAGCAAATCACCCACGCGTGAAGCGCGTTGAAAAACTAGTATGAACAAAACAAGAGTTCATAACAAATTTACTACTAAAGAAATTAGAATAGTGTGAAAAATAAATTATTTTTCCTCAGTGTCTAAAAGACGTTAATTATAGATATTATAAACTTTCAACTATTGCAAAAATTCCATGGCATGAATCAATTTTCAACGGTTGTACTATAGGTAAAATTTTCAATCTCATCTTGAAAATTTTTTCTATGATGTTGTTTGGAAATAATCAGTTTATGTGTCTGGATCCATCTTCATCTTGGTTGTTTTATATTCTTAAATTAGCCAAAAATGTGTTTAGCCGCATTACCGTTATCTTGTGAGAGAGATAAATTACATTGCCTTATATACACTTTTATTCCATGTAAAGATAAACCTTGAAAATATGTTAATTGTTAATGAAGAAAGTGAGATTATTATTACTATTTGCTAATCAAATTAAACTTCAAACCGAGTTTCATTCTATAAAAAGGTCATTTTTTTTTTTGTTATTTACAGAAGTGTCTGTTTAGAGCATCTTGAATATGTAAAAATGCCAACTTATTATTTTATTTACGAAAAACCTACTGTCATATATATGTGAAGACGTTTATATTCTTACATAATGAAAAAAAGCAAAAAAATCTAATGACTCAACTAGAAAAGATAACATAATAAATATCGAATTTAAATATAAAAAGTCAAACAATTAAATTTAATGAAACCTAATTATTTCAAGAAAAAGAAATATTTTTAAATAAATAATAAAAACCTACCCAATTTTTTTAAAATAAATACCAAACTAATCAAAATAAAGAACAAGGGTATATCAAGTATTAGATGTTCTTTATTATTCAGATGTAGGTAATTTTATAATATTATATAT